TAATTTTTTTTTTATATTATCAATAATTTTCTCGATAACTATTTATCGCAGAGCACTGATCTTTTTTGTATATGATAGAAAATTAAATTTTCTTTCCAACGGTACCAAATATAAGAAGTTATCTGTAATAAGTCCGGAGTTATTGGCATTAGACCGCTCCGCGTACCGAAAATGGCCCAAAATTTCGATAAAAATCGAAAAAATTAAAAACTTCAAAATTGTCCATTTGCACTCTTGGATGTTCAAAAGACTTAATAAAGCACAAAAACATTGTAAAAATGCGAAAAATAAATTTTTGAAAAATTTTGTGTAAAATATATTGAGTGAAAACATTGAAATTGTCGGCGGCGGTGGTGGCTCAGCGGCATAAGGTCCCGCTTTCCAGTAGGTAGGTCCCGTATTTTCAATCGTTTTGGTTCAATTTTAAGCCGGGAATCAACCTGAATCAAAGTATTTCAACGAAATACTGGCTTGAATAAGAGTTTTTTTCCAAAATAAAGCAATTTGAGCTATTTTCAATTGAATTTTTCTCGAATTTAATACAGAATTAATTCGAAATTAATGTATTTTATAAAAATATTGCAAATTAAACACAAAAGGCTTTATCTTTTTGTTCCTTTCTTTCTTTATAAAGGGCAACAATTTTATTCAATTGCAATATTGTTAATACAGGGTGAACCAAAAATAACGCACAAAATTCATATCTTTGTTAGTGGTCGTTTTTCAACATTTTTTTTTGAACATGTCGATTTTATTTTTTTAAATGCTATATTTTGACATTATAGTAACATTTATAACGTCATTTGTTTTTGAGTTGTGACGTCAATTTTATTTTTTTTAAATGGCAGGTGACATTCTTGTTCACTGTTTTAAATAGCACACATTTTTATCTTTCTGGTAATAAGAAAAAAAAAATGAAATCAAAACTTAAAAAAAAGTAATTAAAAAATTCTCAATCTCAATTTTAGGCTAAATAAAAAATCGATTTGGCTCAATTTGAAGCCGGGAATCAACCTTTCTCGATTTTAATACAAAATTAATTCGAAATTAATGTATTACTCCGGGTGCCAAAAATCGACCAAAATCTCGACAAAAATCAAAAAAAATTTTGAACAACTTTTGAGAAAACTTAAAAAACTGATCTATTTAACGTTTTTTGCATTTGTAGAGGTGCTAAAGATTACAAAAAATGCATAAAACGTTATTGGGTCAAATTTCAAAAATTTTGAATTTTTTGAGTTTTTGGTGAGCGATAGTAAAAACGCTTGAATCTTGGTATTTAACATATTACGACTATTTCCGAACACATTAAGTCGACTTACGAGTATAACCGAGCTTATCACGAACAAAATTCTAGACACAACAAGTATAAATTGTCTCAATGTTGTGGTATGATGTAAACGTGAAGGTCACTCGATTCTCTTATCAATAAAAATGATTATTTTTCACAAGTTTGCTTATTTGTTATTAATTTTTCAACCGATAGTTTGGTAAATATGATTTCAGTGTTGGTAAAAAGAAATAAATTTGAAAAATTTTAGTGCAAATATTAAATTTCCTGACGATTTTTTGTTCGGAGTCGCGAGCTCGGCTTATCAAATCGAAGGTGGCTATGATAGTAGAGGTGAGTGTAAAAATAATAAACATGTAGATAAGAAACCATGTCAAAAATAAGTTTATGTCTTATTGTGTTTTCTGTAATAGTTGAGAACCTCTTTGTATACTTGAACTTACTTGTTTAAACACTCTGTATATAATATGTGTCATTAGTGAATAAATATTTGACCACTACTCTGTTTTTTTCACACTTAGTAAGACACTAAGTATATATTTATTTTTTTCTATAACTTTTGTTATTTATCATGTTTAAATTAAATATTAAATTAAATTATTATCATTAATTAAATTAAATTGTTTTTATTAAGTTATTATTATTAAGTGTATATTTATTTTTTTCTATAACTTTTTGTTATTTATCATGTTTAAATTAAATATTAAATTAAATTATTGTCATTAATTAAACACCCTGTCTATTATACTTTTTCAAATATCGAAATATGGGAAAAACCCATTGAATACCCTTCAGGGGTTGTAGTTTTTTTGTAAAGTTTTTTAAATTTGTAGCAATAAAAACGAAACACACTGTATATCCGGGGACACACTCTAGATACAAATTTTTTTGATAATATTTTATTTTGGCATTGTTTAAAAAACCAAACTACTTTTAATCATTATTATTGGAAAATGTTTTTTTTTTCTTATAGACTTTGGATGCATAATATTCACTAATTTTATCCTATTATTCAATTATTACTAATTTAATAAAAAATATAATTTTTAAAACACTACTTTAATTGAATTTAATAGGAAAAACCACTTTTGACCACCATTGGGAGCTAAATTCGTCCATGGTGGCCGACTCCTCCAACGCCAAAACCGCCTGCGACTCCTACAACCAATACCAAAAAGATATCGACCTTTTGGTAGACTTAGGGGTCAATTTTTACCGATTTTCCATTTCCTGGCCTCGAATTTTACCCAGAGGGTTTCCCAACGAGGTCAACCCAGATGGGATCCGTTACTACAACAACCTAATCGATGGTCTTTTGGCCAAAAACATTCAACCCATGGTGACAATGTTCCATTTTGATTTACCCAAACCTCTTCAAGATCTAGGCGGGTGGACAAATCCCGTCATTAGTGACCTTTTTGAGGACTATGCCAGGATTTTGTTCAAAAATTTTGGCAATAGAGTTAAATATTGGATAACAATAAATTCGAATACTTGGGGGTATGGCGATAGTGATTGGCCACCAATGGTGAACCAATCGGGATTTGGGGATTATTTGTGTGTGAAAAACACGGTTTTGGGACACGCGAAAGTGTACCATTTGTCTAAGAGAGAGTTTAGGGAGCAAAAGAGCCAAATTGGGTTCGTGGTTGATGGGCGATGGTACGAACCAGCGAGCGAGTCGTCCCAAAACAGGGATGCGGCGGAACGTGCAAGGGAATTCAATGTTGGGATTTGGCTTAATCCCATCTATGGTAGTGGCGATTTCCCCGCCATTGTCAAACAAAGAGTGAAAACAACGAGTGAAAAAGAAGGTTTTTCTAAATCGCGGTTACCCGAATTTACCCCCGACGAAATCAATTTTGTTAAAAATAGTTTCGATTTTTTGGGGGTTAATATCTATACGTCATTTCTAGTCAAAGATGTGGATGAACGAAATGATAAAGATTTTTCGTGGGATAAAGATATGAAGGCTGAAATTTATCAAGATTCAAGGTGGGAAGGGGCAAAATCTAATTGGTTGAAAGTCACTCCCTGGGGTTTGAGAAAAGTTCTGGGTTGGATTAAACAAAAGTATAATAATCCGCCAATGTTTATAACGGAGAATGGGTTTTCGGATGGTGGTGAGATTGAGGATTTAGGGAGGGTCAAGTTTATGGAGGTGAGACACTATGTATATAAAACAATTTTTAAACTTTGATTATTTAAAAAAAATTGCTGACTTTTATCATTGTTCGATATTTTTTTACTTCTATCAATTTTTTTTTCAACATTTTCTAAGTATGTTTTTTGTAATTGTCTACTATTGGCTATGATTATCACTCTCTGTGTTAAAATTTTTGCTCAATTTTGAGTTATCTACACTTATTTACTCAAAAAAATCTAAACTGTTGAATATTCTTTTTTTTTGTTTTTTTTTCGTTTTTACACCAAATATTTTTTTGCAATGTTTCTCTTATTCACCTCTTTTTGATAATATTTCGCCATTACTTTGAATTGATCAGTTATTATTTCTTTTTATCTTTCTTCTTTTCTTTTTAATCTTTCTTCTTTTTTTTTTAATTTTTAATTGTAATTTTAATCACAAAAAATTTGTTGTTTGCAGCTGTATCTTAAGGCTTTGCTCGAAGCCATTGACAAAGACAGAGTTAAAGTGAAAGGTTATGCTGCTTGGAGTTTATTAGATAATTTCGAATGGCTTGTAGGATATACGTAAGTATACAGAATGTAACAAAAATAAGTACATCAAGTTCTACAAGTGATAGAACTCGTTAAATGAAACATTTTCTAAATTACACTTTTGACTTGTAAATATAGAGTGCCTCAAAAATGTCGTGCTCAAATTTACAACCTGTCAAATAAAACTGTAGTCGGTTGTAGTGTTGCAAAAAATATTCTTTATTTTTTTATGACAACTTATAGAGTCACCCTGTATATTTTATAAAGTTTTGAACAAGGTGAGGTATTTTTTAGGTAAAACAAAATGAGGGAAATCAGCTAATATACTTTTATACACAAACGTCACAAAAGTGACTACTTTTGTGACGTTCAGCCATGGAGTAAAAATTTTATTTTTGCATTTAAGCCCTTTTAACTTTTGGCGCAACATTATTGATATTTACCAATGTTGTTTCTTTCTGTCTTTTTCGCCGATTCAGTAATTTTTATAGAGGTACATTGTAAATCAAAGATCATCAGCGTTTGACATTTTGCACTACTAACTGCACTAGTTAAACACACTTTTGCAAATTTTGACACAAATTATTCCGATTTGAGGTGTGATGTTGGCTCATAACCGCTGTTATGATTTTATTACTTGCAAAGCGTCCTGATTATTTAATTTTGTTCATTTACTTGCTAATTATAGTGTGACTTTTTAATCTCGAACTGAATACGTTTGGGGATGAAATAGTATGTGGAGTGAGTTGAATTATTTGTCTCACTATGTTTAGGAAAATAAACAATTACTTTTACTCCTAATAGCGTAATACATACAGGGTGCGCCAGAATTCGCGCCCGTAAGGTAAGATACCAGAAACATGGAAAAAATATTAAATTTTTTTATCTATATTAAAATTACAAGTTATGAGAGTTTAAATTTTGCACTTTGACTCTATTTATTTCTGTTGGAGAAATAATTTTCCAAGTTTTTTTGCTACAGGCTTTTAGAAGAGGATACAAGGAAGCCTCTCTTTCATAAATTGTAAGTCTGTTTAAAGTTATTAATGGCAAAATTTTTGTACTTCTACTAAATAATTATAAAAAAAACATATACAATATCACCAGTGTCATTAAATAGAGATGAAAAAATGTCAAATGTCAAAAAATTAATGTCAAAATTTTTTGACAGAGAATTTTTTAAACATATTTTTCATGTTCCTGGTATCTTATATTACTTGAAATTTTTCTCTGGAGCGCGAGTTCTGGCGCACCCTGTATACTATTTTTTGTTTTAGTGAAAAATTCGGTTTGTATCATGTGGATTTCGCCGACCCTCATCGCAAACGGACTCCGAAAAGTTCATCAAAGTGGTACAAGAAACTGATCGAGCGAAGACAATTGGACGAAATGTACAAAACAGAACTGTAATAAATTCTTGTTGTTTTTTTTTTTAATAAAATAAACTTCCGCGTTGTCGTATTGTGTAACAAGTGGAGCATCGAATCGAATTCGTAAAGTTCGTCGTCTCTGCGCCTTAATTATCGCCGAAGTTCGAGGTGACTTCAATGCAAGAGAAAGGAAGAAGCTACAGGTGTTCAAATCAAACTTCTAACATCTTGAAATAAATCACGGGTTGACAAACGTTTGTGTTTGTGGTGATGGAGTTTGTACAACATAAATTCGATAAATAAGTCGGATTGTTCGCATTCATTTCGATAATAGGAGAATCCTTTTTGCTGATCAGACAAGGCTGCGATTTCCGGCGAGACGGGATATCGATGTCCTATATTCTCCTTTTTTGTCCTCTTAATTTACTTATCTGAGCTTCCAAAACGCCGCCTTCCATTTTACGACGACTTTAACGATGCCATGATGGACCAACACTCCGAAAATTTTATTCCTTCAAAAGTTAATTAATTTTTATTCACTCTCACTCAAATGACGATTTATAAACGAAAAATACGTTATTTCGTCTCTTGGTTGGGAAGTAATTGTGTGAGATTGACATGAGGAACCCATGAAATGTGACAAACGCACGATAATAAATATTTTACTCCTTATTTTGAAGAAAATGTGATTGTGGATAAAATAGCATACAAACCTCAGCAACAACTTCGAGTTTAATAAGGTATTTACCATCTCGGTTGTATTATAATATACTATTTACCAAAAAATAACGAATACATTTTAGAATTTTTTGAAAAATTTGAAGGCTTTAAAAAAAAAAGAAAAATTTTGAATTTGATGAAAAAATGTTTGGCGAGAGTTTTTACGAAAATTCAATCATAAAAGCGTTAATGTGTGTTTTTGATTTACTTTTTCCACTAGTGAAAAGAAAGCAAAAACTAGTTATACATTCATTCTGTATCAAAATAGCTTTTGAAACTTAGTTTTTTATTGAACGAAATTGTGCTCAAAGAACAAAAATTGTCAATAATTATGTAAATTTATGAAAAAAATTTTTTTGAATTTTGTGACAAAATTTTTGGCGAGAAAGTCTTTACGAAAGTTTAAACATCAATGATGAAGATGTGAATTTTTCATTTACTTTTTCCACTAGTGAATAAAGCAAAAACTCGTTATCCATTTTTGAGATTGAGCTATTATTTAGCCATGAGAGGTTTGTTAGAAAAATTTATTTCGTTGCAAAACAAAAAATGGTTATACAGGCTGATTCACTTATGATGACATATATCTGCCAAAATAAAATACAACTCAACTCAAAATATACCTTACATAGCATTTTGTTCTGGGACGCGATTTCTGGCGCACCCTGTATATCATGTATATTTAGGATGTATTTTGTGTTGTATCTGATTTTTGTTACCATTTATGAAGCAGCCTGTATTTAAAGAAAGAACTATTTAAGCAAAATAATCAAGAAATTTCTATTTTAAAATCAGTGTATTTATTTCTGCTTCATTCTGTATCAAAATAGATTTTGAAACTTAGTTTTTCATTTAACGAAATTGTGCTCAAAGAACAAAAATTGTAAATATGTAAATTTATGACAAAACTTAGCATCATTTTTGATGATTAAATTTTACTACAACATACAGGTTGCGTATTAAATACGAAAATTTCACAAAAATTGATTACATTTTACATTTTTTTTTAAACTGAATGAATGAAATACTAGTTTGTCATCAATAATCACATACAATTTTGTTTTTTTTTTATTACTTACAAAAGAAAGAAAACGTTAAATTTTTTTGCACGATTTTTTCTCGAGAAACTTTCTTTGCAATAAAATTGTTCGGTTTATGCTTGTTTTCTTCAAAAGTAGTCCCAATATAAATAAAAGTAGTTGCAAGTCAGATAAACTATTTAAACTCTTTGTTTATGATAAGCTAACAGGGGCGGTAAAATACTTTATTACGCTCCAACAGCACTTACCGAATTCCTTGCCAAGAATTAAAACTTAAAACAATAAACAAACTTATTTTAATTAATCCCAAAGTTTGAACCTTTAATCATAGTTATAATAAATTAAAGATCAAAGTCCCAAATCGATTTGATCTTTTAAAAATAGAACACAATTGGGGCCAATGACTCGCCTCAAATCCCACTCATTTTTTCCTATTTACGAAATATTTATCATCTTTCGAATCCGTTGACACGACATTTTGATGGATTGCTGATCAAAATACAACCCCGACAACTGCACCTAATAGTAAAAAATTGGTTGGTGACCTTGGATCAGTTTATATTTCTCTCAAATTTGCACAGAACCGTAAACTGAATTCATTACCCCACAAATATTTTACATTATTGCCGAAATCAATCTCGTCTAAAAGACAGTAATAAGAGTGATGCGTTTTTTGCGACTTATTCCGGTTTGGAAATGTTTAATTTTGGTGGATGCGCTGGGATAGTCTCTCGATTGGATTTGAACGATATTGAATTTATATCAAAACTGGTTTTGTTCATACTTTGCTGTTTTTATTCAAGTTTTGGTGGAATAAAATAAGAGCAAAGATGAGAATAAATTTGCACAAGATGTGGGTGGAATATTTGAGCGTTTTTCTCACTATTTATGCTTTTATCAATTACCAGTTGAGAAATGAAGTCACAAAATTGGATTTATTTAAGCAATGGCGGAGTTTTTTTAAAGTGCGGTAACAATTAGATTTCTGAACTGGAAATTAAATTTATCTCACTCGGAATTTTTCTCTTTTAAAACAGCCTCTGTGCATACAGAGTGTTTTTTAAATATACAGTATGATGAAAAAAAGGCGCCCGTGTTAACCCACACGTTATAAGTGATCTTTCAGTAAAGACGAATTCGAAGACCAAAATTGGATTTGTGCTCTTATCAGTAAGATATAGACTTTCATTTTTAGAAAAAAAAAATTTACATAATTAACAGTTTTAAAATAATTTCATTGTTAAAGTCTAGATTTTGATACTGTTGACGGTGTTCTTAAAAAAAATGAGTAAAAATCTATTGAAATAAACTTTATTGAAGATGTTTGGATACCATTTCTTGGCTCCAAAGAAAATTTATCAATGTTGCAACATTGCAAATATCCTAGGATACAGAAAATGTCCAAGTAATATTCAATTATTGGAAATGGTAGCAACAAAAAAATCAATTTTCAATGTTGTTTGTTCTGTGAAATTTGAACGATTAAAGTCAAAAAGGTTTCCTAGATACGAAAAATACCTGAGTGAAATAGTTTTTTAGTAAAAGAAATTTGTGCAATATTGCCGCTTTGTGGTGTTAGACAAACTGTTTAAATTTTAAAAAGAATCTATTTAGACTATTTTTGGAATGATGGTCACAATGTTTTAATAAAAAAGGACGCGCCTGTTTCAATCGTGGGCGCCTTTTTTTCATCACCCTGTATTGCAAAAAAAATACTTTACTAAATCGTCATAGCTTGAACGCGCTCACACCCGTGTAAAACGTTAATTTAACCATCTTTGTCACGCGATAGCTGGAAATTGTTGGAAAATTTGGAAGCACTAAAAGTAGAAAACGGCAAAAGTTGGAGATTGAATGAAGATAAGAAACAAAAATTCAATCATAATTCTACAAAGTAGTAGAGTCTCATAGAGAAAAAAGGTCTAAAAGTGCCCAAATTAACGTTTTAAAGAACATCACTAAGAGTGCGTTGGCTTTTAATAATTCAATCTGACACAAGATGACAAGAAAATCAAACGAAATTTTTTTAAAAGTCATAAGAAAGCTTTAATCTACATTTTTTTGGAATCTACTGAGAAGAAAATTGACGAAATAGTCCCTTATCTAACATTAATTTTAATTGGAAAAATTAATTTAAATTTATTATTTTTGAGTCTTTTTCAAAGCAAATTCGAATTGAATTGTGGATAATCGGTGAAGTTTTTGAAAAATCTTGAATTTGATTGGTCGGAGACATTTGTTAATTTATTGGTCCGATTACAAGACCCAATAATAATTATTTCCCATTGGCGTAATTATCACTGTCGTGAGAACAAACCGGTTTTTATTTCTTATTGGCCAAAATTCGACAAAAACCTAGCAACGGTAAGTAACTCCACCCATTTAAAAAATTCTGAATTGAATTTTTACAACAAATCAGCGTTTAGTGTGACTTATCTTACTTTAATTGGATCTAATTTTGCACAATGGGTGGAGCCAACCCCAGAGCCAATATGAATCATGCACTTTCGATTATTAGACCAATAAAAAGTAAAAAATCATTCAATGCGTTAAATATAAATGTCATTATTCGATCCTTGGCCAATCATTTACGTCTTTTAAAATCAATCAATCAGATTTGATTTTCGACAAAAAATAATAAAAATAATTAAAATCTTTGTTTTAAAAATCGGATTCTTTGATTTTATTATCAATATAATTAAAGAATAAACGTTGATTAAATTTTCTTCACTGTTAAAATTTGACATTTTTGAAAGATTTACACAACACTGTGTATTTATTAGATTTATTGTGTACTAAAATGCTCAATTTTTCATTCAAAAACACCGATTCGAGTCATTTTTAGCGCTTTTAGCCTTTATTTGTCAAATCTTCCAAAAAAATTTTAAAATCCATAATTCGAGAGATTGATTTTTTTCATAGATTTAGTGCAAAACTTCAAAATGGTGCCAAAAAGAATTTCAAATTTTCAAACAAAAGATCATTTTCTTTTTTTCGCCAGCAATGGAATAAATTACTGCCAACATTAAAAATTTGAACAAAATTGGTTAATAAAGTTAGAGCAATTTTGTAGTTATAGTGCTAATTTGACAGATTGGTTCTTTATGTACAATCAGTGCAAAATTTAGAACAATGGTTCAAATCAGGGGGGTAATGAATAATTTTCTGATTAAAAATGGTCTAAAAAAAATTGAATTATCAAACAAAAGACCATTTTTTGTGTTTTTTCCCAGAACGAATTACAGAAACAATAAAAATTTCAAGAAAATCGATCAGTCAGATTTTTTTTTAAGTTAGCCTTAAAATTTACAAATGGGTGCTAAAAATCGCT